CTTTGTTTACCAACTACAAATTCCCTTTCTAAGAAGAAAATTGCTGTGAGGAAAAAGCTTGTTAACATACTGTTTATAATGTGCTATAATTTTTGGATTGTTTTGCAGGAATTTGAAACTCAGGGCCTCATGCTTGCTAGGCAGGCATTCTACCACTTGAGCCACACCTCCAGTGCTATAGTTTTCTAATGTTGCCTTGAGTCAGGTCTCATTTGTTAAACAGACTCTCTCTTGAAATTCCATCGCCAAGGAATTATGCATATCATTTGCAATATCCTCATGCTTGGTAGGCAGGTGCTCTACCATTTGAGCCACACCTGCATCCCTTTTTACTTGGTTTTTTTTTTTGACACAGACATAAATCCATGAAGGTACAGCCATTTGATTTTTTGACAAGAGTTCAAACATTCATGGGAGAAAAGACAGCCTTTTCAAAAATGGTGCTGGAAAACTAGATACCCACCTGTAGAAGATTGAAACGGGCTGGGATGTAGCTCAATGGTAGTTGCCTAGCATGTGTGAGGCTCTAAAAAACAAAAAGACCCAAAAAGATTGAACTAGATCCCAGAAAGGAAAGCTAACAGGATGTATTAGAGTTCTATGTTTGCTATAATAAAACCACAAACTAGTGGCTTAAAAGATATTCTGTCAAAGTTCTGAATACTAGAACCTTAAATCAAGGTGTTGGCTAGACCATGCTCTCTGTGAAGACTCTAGAGAGTTGGTTCCATGCCTTTCTCCTAGTTTCCAGCGTTACTGGAAGAACTTGGCATTCCTTAGTTTGTACCTGTTTAAAAATGTACCGAGAATTTGGTTTTATTCATGTATATTGAGGATAACAGATCACAAGCAATTGCCATCGACAGAAGATACTTTGTTTCTCACAATTCCTAAGAAAAGAAGAGAGACATGCTACAGTCTGCAGGGCCACATGGAGGAAGAAGCAGGGCTAGTAACGGGCAAAAGAAAGGCAGGCAAAACATAGGCAAAAGGCTGAATACCTGATAGCTGGGGAGAGAAGAATCAGTTTAGTGACTGAGTGGCAAGGATCTACAAAGAGAGAGAACATAACCCGGAAAATAATAGAGCTAGGCACATTCTCCTATATCCAATTAAGCCAGGCTCTCATCCCTGGGACTAGGTCAGTCCAATAGAATGATTGAGCCTCATTATCTTATGGACGGTGTGACAGTTTGTATATGGCTTGAATGAGTCTCCTATAGTGTGGCAATGTTAAAAGATGGTTTGCCTGGTGAGAGGAGCTTAGATCATTTGGAGATGCTGCCCTTGGCGGAGATGAACGTGGTTTTCACGGGACCTTAGGTTGGTTCTTACTAGGGGATTGTTATAAAAAAAAAAGAAGTAAAGCAGGATTCATAGGCAAGTATCTATAGTCCCAGCATTTGGGAGGCTGAAGCAGGAACCAGAAACTAGCCTGAGAAACTCCACCTGTGGAGTCAAAGCACAAGGACTGATTCCAACATGACCCTAGTATGTCATCTAGGAATCATCCGGCTCCATACCTGTTTTTGGTTTTGGTTTTGCAGCACTGGGGTTTGAACACAAGGTCTCTACTGTTGGAGCCACATCCAGCCCTTTTTTGCTTTAGTTATTTATCAGAGAGGGTCTTGCACTTTTTGCCTGGGCCAGTCTTGTACTGTGATCCTACGATCCCCACCTCCCAAGGAGTCAAAATTACAGGCATGCAGCATCATACCTAGCTTATGTGTTGAGGAAGGGTCTTGCTAACTTTTTGCACAGTTGGCCTCAACCAGGATCTTCCTATCTTCCTCCACACCCTGAGTGGCTGGGTTGTTTTGGGTTTTTTGTGATGATCCGTATGTAGCCGAGGCTGACCTGGAACTTGTTATGTAGCTCAAGCGGGCCTCAAACTCGTGATCTCCCTGCCTCAGTCTCCTAAGTGTCGGAATTACAGGTGTGTACTACCACATGCAGCTACCATACCTATTATTAATACAAAAGAAAAGGTTTATCCATGTCCAGTCATTTCATCAAAGTGAGAAGAAGAGTGACATTCTTTTCTTGCTTCTGAATGTCATACCCTGCCATACCAATTTTCCAGAGTTGGCCCACCAGGTGCTGACATTGGCAGGAATCAAAATGGTTCGAAATCTCTTGGCATGATCTAGATAATAAGATAACAAGCAATCAGGTTGATTAAAGTGGCTAAGGGTTGAAGAATGGGTGTAAAGTGTTGTCAGGTCCATTTAGAAAGTAGGGTGGGTTAATGAGTCAATAACAGGATGGCGAGTGGCTCAAGTAGTAAGAGAGCCTCCCTGAGTTCAAACCCCAGTGCCACCAAAATAAATAAATAAATAAAGAGTCAATAAGAATTCCATACACCAGAGATGCTTGCACACCCATGTTTATTACAGTGTTATTCACAATAGCCAAGCTATGGAAACAGCCCAAATGCCCTACAACTGATGAATGGATCAAGAAAATTTCTGTAATCCTAGCTCATTTCTGTAATCCTAGCTGCTCGGGAAGCGGAGATCAGGAGGATCAGGTTTCAAAGCCAGCTCAGGAGGGAAAAAAAGTGAGACCCTATTTCAAGAATACATCATACAAAAAAAAGGCTGGTGGAGTGGCTCAAGCTGTAGAGTGCATGCCTAGAAAGCATGAGACCCTTAGTTCAAACCCCAATGTCACCAAAAAAAGGGGGAAAAAGAGTAAAGCATAATTTGAAAGAGAGCCAGTAGTGAAGGATAAAAAAGAGAATAAGATACATTGTTGTTGAAGACCAGGCATGGCTCCTGGACTGGGAAATAATGGAGCTTGCAGAGCTTCTCCATACTAGGAGCTTGCAAAGCCTCTCCTATCATATTTTTCCCAGCTCTTGGTGTCTTGACCTCTGTTCCCGCATCTCCTTGAAGAAAACAACCTGCTGTGTCTGCATACCAGCCCCCTGAGGCAAAACTAGATAAAGTACCAGAACTGTTTGGAGACTCCCTGAGGCCAGATTAATCAATACCTTAGATAAGGTGTCCTGTGTGCCTCTGTTTATCTTTTAGGTCTATCTCCCACATATGAAAGAAAATATTTGACCTTTGTCTTTTTCAGCCTAGCTTACTTCACTGAACATGATGATCTCCAGTTCCATCCATTTACCTGCAAACAACATAATACTCATATGTGCATATATGCATACATACACATACATTTTCTTGATCCACTCATCAGTTGTAGGGCATTTGGGCTGTTTCCATAGCTTGGCTATTGTGAATAGCACTGTAATAAACATGGGTGTGCAAGCATCTCTGTTGTATCCAGATTTATATTCCTTCAGATATATACCCAGGAGTAGTATTGCTAGACTGCATGTTACTTCTATTTTCAGTTTTTTGACGAACCTCCATATTGCTTACACAGTGGTTGCACTAATTTATATTCTCACAACAATATATAAGGGTTCCTTTTCTCCAGCATTCTAGCCAGCATTTGTGTTGTTTGTGTTCTTGATGCTAGCCATTCTAACATTGAGATGGAATCTTACTGTGATTTTGATTTGCATTTCCTTTAAGGCTAGAGATGTTGAATGTTTCTTCATGTGATTTTGACCATTCATACTTCTTCCTTTGAAGAAGTTTTGTTCAGTTTATTTGCCCATTTCCTCATCAGGTCATTCATTCTTTGGGAGTTTAGGTTTTTTTGATCCCACCCCTGCAAATTCTGGTTATTAACCCCTTGTCAGATGTATAGCTGGCAAAATTTTCTCATTCTGTGGAATGCCTCTTCAGTATGGTGATGTTGCAGAAGCTTTTTAGTTTCATGTCATCCCATTTGTCAATCCCTTCTCTTAGCTGCTGAACCATTGGAGTTCTATTTAGGAAGTTATAGCCTATGCCTATATGTTCCAGTGTGCTCCCTACTCTTTCTTCCACTAGTTTCAAAGTTTCAGTCCTTATATAAAGGTCTTTGAATTGACAGTTGTACAGTCTGAAAGACAGGGATCTAGTTTTAGTTGTCTACATGCAGATATCCAGTTTTCCCAGCACAATTTATTAAAGAGGCTTTTTTCCATCAAATGTTTTGAGCACCTTTGTCAAAAATCAGATGGCTGTAGCTGCATGCATTTATGTCTAGATATTTTATTCTGCTCCATTGGTCTTCATATGTGTTTTTGTGCTAGTACCATGCTCTTTTTATTTCTATGACTCTGTAGTATAGTTTGAAGTCAGGTATTGTGACACCTCCAGTATTGCTCTTTTTGCTCAGTATTACATTGACCAGTCATGGTCTTTTGTGGTTTCATATGAACTTTAATGTTGAATTATCAATCTCTATGAGGAATGTCAGTAGAATTTTGATGGGGAATGTGTTTGAACATATAGATCGCTTTTATAGTATAACCATTTTCATGATATTAATTCTGTCAATTCATGAATGTGGAAGATCTTTCCATCTTCTGATGTCTTCTTCAATTTCTTTCTTCAGTGGTTTAGTTTTCATTGTATAGGTCCTTTATGTCCTTTGTCAAGTTTATTCCTAGGTATTTTTTAAGGCTATTGTACATGGGATTGTT